AAGGATAGAAAAATGACAAGATCGTACACACCCAAGCATCCAATTGCACCATCTCTCCCCAAACCCCCGTTGGTTTAGAACTTCTTTCAAAAAACCCAAATCTACCATATCATAGGCCTTTTCTAAGTCCAATTTGCACACAAAACCTTCCTTCCTAGATCTCTTCATCTCCTTCAACTACCAAATGTTGAACTCCTAATTGTTCTACAATCTAAATACCTTGTGCAGCCACTAAGATCTCAACTCTATTAGAGTCTCCTATTCCCACAAGGCCTGAAAACAAGGCTAAAATGTTGCTCTCTTTATCTCTCAACACCCCTCCTATCCCCAATGGGCCTGGGTTTCCTAGGTTACTACCATCAAAGTTCAGCTTTACCCAACCTTCAGGCGGAGGCTTCCACACTGTAGATTCCTTGTCCTTCCTCGTATGGCTATTGGCCACCACTTTCTAGTTTCTCCAAATATCATCAAAGGAAAATTTATGAAAGAAGTCCATAGTTCTTAACCAATGAATGGCTTTAGTCAAGATACAATCCTCAACAGCCCGAATGCTTCTTTCCTTTTCTTTGAATACCCTTGCATTCCTTTTTTTTTTTGATAAATAAATCCGTTTCCGTTAAAATAATGATTGGATACAAGAAAATCCCTTTAAAGGCGCGAGGTGCCGCCTCTCCTAACAGCAAATACAAGAACTATAACAAAAGTTACACGAGTGTTGATGTTAAAAGAAGAGTTGCAGTTGTGCCCAGAACAATGTTTCCCTATTTACCCCTTGTTTGGCCAAGGCATCTGCAAATGCATTAACTGATCTCCCAACCCATTGTACTGATATAGACATATTCCTTGTCAGCCATTTGAATTTCTTTAACTCATTTTTGTAGCCCCACGTCTCCGGATTCATTAATCAGTCCACCACTGTCTTAGAATCCCCTTCAATCAGAAGCTGCTCCACGCCCACTTCTTTTGCAAGAAGTATTCCTTGTAATTGCAGCAGACAGTTCTGCCTGGATAGAATTCCCAACACCTAAAGGGCCAGAGTAGAGTAAGACAACCTCTCCAGCCCTTCCAACAATCAGTAAAGGAGAAATTGTTAAATAAATCTAAAGTCTTTAACCAATGTATTGACCTGGACATAATGTAGTCCTTCAAGGCTTGACTGCTCCCTTTTTCTTCGAAGATCCTAGCATTCCTTTCTTCCCATACTGTCCATAACAATGTTGCTCGCATGCATCTCCATATTTTCCTTCCTCTTTTCTGGGGCCAAGAGAAAAAAGAAGGGTTAAAGATTGTGCTTACTTCTGTTGGTGTATCCCAACTATACCCAAACAAAGATAGAAGCCAAGCTCAGAGCTCTGCAGATACACTACAAGATAAAAACAGATGATTACAATCCTCACCACGAGACCTGCAAAGGATGCACCAGTTTGGTGAAATGCAAAGGCCGGGTCCTTCTCTTTTGTAGGTTATCCATCGTGTTAACTTTACCATGCCACACTTCCCAACACAAAGCCATAACCTTGGGGGGGACCGGTCTACACCAAACTTCTTTGGAAGGAAAACTTTGTTGAGAAGAGGTTTGGCAGAGGAACTTGAAAAAGGAGCCATAGGAAAAAGACCCATTGGAGTGAATGTTCCAAATTCTTTTATCAAGTTTCGAGGGATCCAGCCAAACCTTGTCAAGGAGACACAGAAGAGTAGACAAACACTCAATTTCCTCATCCCTTAACCCTCTACGGAAACCAAAATCCCAAGACAACGCTGGAAAATTTAAAATCGACGGAAGGAATTTTGAGATCACCTCTTTTTTATACAAAGAAAGAGAGTACAAAGAAGGAAAAAAGTATTTTAGAGGGAGATCCCCAACCCAAATGTCCTCCCAAAACCAATAGAGTTACCAGAACAAGCATCATATCTGACACAACTGAGAAACTTCGAAAGAATTTTGTGAATTGATTTCCATGGTCTGGCTAGGTTAGCCCTCCTTGATGTACTAGCATCCCAACCACTCTGAAACTCCATGAATACTCTTCACTACTTCGTGCCAAAGTCTATCTCGCTCCAAAGGCCACCTCCACAGCCACTTCCCTAACAAAGTGAATTCTTTTTAAGCACATTCCCTAGCCCTAATCCTCCTTCCTCTTTGCTTCTACCCACAACCCCCCAATTGATTAAATGATCTTTTTTACCTTCTCCTGGTTCCCAAAGAAAATCTCTCATCAATTTTTCCAATTTCTTTGCTTCCCTAGACGAAATCCTAAAAACAAAGAGGTAATAGGTAGGTAGATTCATGAGGGTAGCTTTTATTAAAGTGATCCTCCCACCCAACGAGATATAATTTTTCTTCCACACTACTAATTTCTTTTCGAACTTCTCCAAGACTGGGGTCCAAAACCTACTCTCCCTAGGGTTTGCTCCTAACGGAAGCCCTAAATAGGACAAAGGCCAAGAAGAAATGGAACACTCAAGACACTCTGCAATCGCCTCAATCTCCTCAAAGTCCAGATTTACTCCGGCTATGCAGCTTTTTCCTAGATTGATTTTCAGATTGGAAACTCTTTCAAAATCTCTAATCAATTCTTTCAGGTTTTCCACCTTCTCACTGAAGCCTCCCTCACAAAAGATCATCAAGTCAACTGCAAATTGAAGGTGAGTTACTGGAATTCTGTTTGTGCCTACTCTCCATCCCCTTATCACATCTTCCCTATCAGCCCTAGTGATAATTCGACTTAACACATCAGCTACTAAGGTAAAGAGACAAGGTGAAAGCAGGTCCCCTTGTCTACTCACCACCCCGTTTACTAGGATAGAATAATGACAAGAGCAGACACAACTAGATACCCAACTGCACCATCTTTCCCCAAACCCACACTTCCTCAAAACCTCTAGTAGGAACTGCCAGTCCACCAAGTCAGGCTTGCTTACAAACAAATCCTCTCTGCTTGGACCATTTCATCTCTTCCACACATTCATCGGCAATCAGGAACTGATCGATTATCTGATGCCCTTGGATGAAAGCCCCTTGAGCCTGCTCTAATACAACCCCACATCATTTTTCCTTTTTTTGTAGGCCAAACAAAAAAATGTCTAAAATTCTTATTTCCCACATAAAAAATAATGATTTTATAACTTTCATTGCCTTTTAAGAAGATATTTTATTGCAATTAATGAATGAACCTAGGTGTGCGCCTTTTGAAAGGGGTGTGCCTAGGACTTGAGCGAGGCGCATATCCCGAAATGCGCCTAGGTGCGCCTTTTAAATCACTGAGCTGATTCTGGCAATGGTCCATGGACTTTAGCTCATTTCTTGGCTGAAGCTAGAGATATCCTTCCTAACTTAAATGCAAAGTTGGGTTGGATCCCTAGGAAACTAAACTCTACTATGGATGGCCTTGCAAAAGCTGGTGCTCATAGGGATTTTTTGTTTAGTGATAGCTTTCTTCCTACTTAACCTACGAGTTGTAATTTTTGTGTACATCTACTCATACACCTCCTGCTTTTTTTAATAAAGCTACCATCTTTTTTAAAAAAAAGTATGGTACGCCTTTGAAAATGAAAGGATTCAAAATATGTATATAGACCTAATTAAGGATATATATGAGGAGACAATAACCAATGTTAGAACACCAATAGGAAAGACTTCATATTTTATAGTTACGAGGATCTTCACCAAGGTTCAACACTTAGCCCAAATGAATTGACTAAACATATTCAGGAGGAAGTTCCATGGTCCATGTTGTTTGCGGATGGCATTGTTTTAATTTATGAAACTAATTAAGGATTAAATGCAAAATTAAGCTTATGGACAAATACCTTAGAAGCAACAAGCTTTAAAACAAGTAGAACTAAAACAAGGTATAAGGCATGTGATTTTAGTAACAATAGGAGTGTAAATCAGGATACACTTAGGATTGGAGACCAAGAGATAACTCAATGTGATCATTTCTGATACCTTGGTTCAATAATTCATAGCAAGGGAGAGATTAAAGAGGATATCACCCAAAGAATTAGAATAGAAGGGCAAAATGGAAGGGGTGCAATCTGGACTTTTATGTGATAGGCGAATACCACTTAAATTAAAAGGAAAATTCAATTAAACAATTGCAAGGCCCACTATGTTGTATGGACTATTGAGTAGAGTGTTGGGCAGTCAAAAAACATATCCAAAAAATGAGCGTGGCAAGAAAAGTGAACACTATGATAGATGAGTGGAAAAAATAGAAAGGATAGAATCAAGAATGAAGCCATCCGTAGGAACCTAGGAGTAGCGCCAATACTGTAGGTGATAAAATGAGATAAAGTAGACTAAGATGGTTTGTTTATGTACATAGAAGACCATCAACAACACCGAATAGAAAAGTGATTTGTTACTAGTTGAATGGGTTAGAAGGGCTAGGGGTAGACCAAAAAGGACATGAATAGAAGTAGTAAGAAATGAATTGAGCACTAATAATTTAATAATGGATAATGCTTTAAATAGAACAGATTTGTGAAACAGGATTCATGTAGCCGACTCCATATAGTTGGGATAAGACATGGATGGTGATAATGATGATGAACAAAAGTTATTTTCAAGAACATATTGATTGTTAGTGGATGTCGAATCTTTTGTAATGCTTTGGAAGCAAAGACAATATATGATTTAGGCAAGTGAACCAAACAAGTTTTGATAAATTTGAATGCACAGCACTTCCTGTATTAGGACAAATTCATGGTAGACAAGAGACATCTATGTTGCAGCTTTACAAACATATAATAGGTTCCAACTGCAGCTTCTTAGAATAGTTTTTTTTTTCTGAATCATGAATAAGCAATAGAAATTGCAATTAGAATAAAAAATGTTTTCTGCAACACAGCTGTACCTCACTTTAAGTCAAAGAATACAGTCCATAACGAATGATTGCAAGTTGCAACCATACGATACAGAACAAAACTCATTGCACCCTGCCCATTAAGAGTGATTTCCAAAAAGACCACACATGGTAAAGGAGCAAAAGCCCTACTCTGAATGTGTAAAATGAATCAATTTGGCTCAGTTCATATGAATAAGGATCCTTACTCGGTTACTCCAAAGTATGTTTCCCCTACTTAAATCACCCCTCTGCCATCAAGAAAAAATATGTATTATTATAGTCAGCATAGAGACACGTAAAGAGTAAACAAATAAAATATATAAACAAAGGTGTTAACAACCTTCATATTACTAGAAGAATATCAATGGAATGAATATTAGCATAAGAAATCAATGACCATCATATCAGTATAATGTGGTTATCTCCAAACCACTTGATAAAGCTGAATGTAACATTTTAAAGGCCTGCAGTGATAGATATTTCAATTTTCATATTTAATGACAAGAAAGAAATCAAAGCTTCTTGCAATAAGAAGAGAAGAGGTATGAACCAGAAGGTGCTACATGCAAAGGAAATAAAGTATTCCAAAAAACAAAATTTATGAAAGTGCTTAGGACCAAAGTGTACCTTTGTGGGAGATGCTTCTGTTAAGATATCAAATTGGCATTTTCAATTTACATGAAGTCGAGGGAAGGTTCAAAACAGCAAACCAGCCTTGAGCATAATTTCTTCAGGACACATTGTCAGTGATGAAGGATTCCTTCGCTTTATGTATTTCTTGGGTTCTTCATCCCAACTATTAAAATGTATCATGCCTTTTTAGCACTGAAAATTTACTACAGCACCAACAAATATATGATGAACAGACATTTATACCCTCTCAAATTTGTTCATTTGGTACAACATAATCATTCAAGTAAGGAATAAGACCCCTTTTTACCATATCATTTTGTAACTCAGTTGCTTCGTCCATTTTCCCTAGCTCAAGATACTTTCTTATTAGACAATTATAAACAGCTTCATCAGGAGGAACACCTCTTCCAAGCATCTCATTTAGCAAATTCCTTGCTTGTTGTATTTCACCACATTGAGAAAGGCCCCATATCAAAGAAGTATAAGCATGCAAATCAAGTTCAATGCCATCTTCTATCATTCTGTCCTTCAAACCAAAAGCTTCCAGAAGATTCCCATGCTTCAAGTTGCCATCCATCAAAGATGTGTAGGCAACTTTATCTGGAATCATACCCTTCCTCAGCATTTCATCAAACAGCTTCCTGGCTTCTTCCAAGCAATTAGTTTTACAGAGGCCATCAATTAGCGCTGTATATGCCAATACATTAGGTTGTAAACCCATGTCTACCATCCTACCAAAATGATAAGTTGCCTCTTGAATTGATCCTGCTTTGCACAACCCATCAATCAATGCACAGTAAGTCACAACTGTGGGAGAAACACCAAATTCTTGCATTTCTTTTAGCAAACTGAGAGCCTCTTTTACATCTCCTGCCTTAAAATAGGCATCCATCAGTGTCGTGTATATAATATGGTTTGCCATAAAACCACATTCCCTCATTTCCCCTACTAAAAATCTAGCTTCTTGAAGCTTTCCTTGGTTGCAGAGACCCCATATAACAGTTCCATAGTGTAATAAATCAGGTTTGATGCATTTTTCTCTCATTTCTCTTAATAAGTCCATTGCCTTTTCTATCTTTTTAGCCTTGAAATACCCCTGAACAAGTGCTGTGTAGAATTGCTGGTTAGCATTTATACCATCTTTCAGCATTGCCCTGAAAACTTCTTCTGCTTCTTCTACCTTCCCATCTTTGCAAAGACCATCTACTAAAGCTGTGTAGGTAACAATATTAAGATTATGTCCTGTGTTCAACATCTCTTTAACCAGCTTTAAAGCTTCAGCCAGGTTTCCTGCTTTACAGTTTCCATCTATCAGGGAAGTATATGTGTACTCATTAGGAGTAAGACCAACCAGTATCATATCCACAAAAAACTTAATGGCCGCTTGCATCATCCCCTCCTTGCAAAAAGCATCAATAAATGTACTAAAAGTTACAACATTGGGCTTAATCCCATTTTGCTTCATCTCACGGAGATAGACAAATGACTGTGGCATCTGCCCAAATTTACAAAAACAGTTGATCAGAGCATTGTAAGTTATCACGTCAGGATCACAACCTGCTCCCTTCATTTCCTCAAATATATGTACTGCATCCTCTAATAGTCCAAGCTTCCCATGTCCATCAATGAGAGAATTGTATGTGACAATGTCCGGTGAGAAACCCATGTCTTTCATCTGTGCAAATAAGCTTCTTGCAGTCTTCAAGTCCCCCTCCTTGCACATAAAATCTATCATTATATTGTAAGTAAAGACTGTTGGAGATATTTTGGCTGCAATCATGTCACCAAAAAACTTCCTGGACATGTCCCCTCGGCCCGACTTAGAAAGCCTGTGTAGAAGAACATTACAAGAACGTGCCTTTGGAAATATTTTAAACTTACTCATCCTTGAGAAGCAGTCGCTTGCTTCTTCGAGTAATCCCAACTCAGTCAAGACACCAAATAGAGCATCAAAGACTCCATAACCGGAATTGCAAACACTCTTTGTCGACCACAAAATGTCGAAAACATCTGAACCAGCTGGAATCCTCCTGGAGGAAATGAGAATCTTCAGAAGTTCTTGCACATCAAAGTACATTCTAGCCCTAAATAATATGTGAACAATAATGCAATACGACTCGGCGGTGTGGCAATAACCCACTTGCTTTCCAGCCCAGTTGAAGAACTTCAGCGCTAACCGGGCGTCCTCTTTTAGCTCGACCAAGATCCTGGAAACCCTTACTGGAGCTAAAACTGAACGGAACAGCCTAACAACCCTACAATCGTCCCACCGTTCTTCTTGAACGATCTTACGTATCGATTCTCTATCTAAATCTTCTCCAAATTTGTCCGGTTTCGCTTCGGTCGTAAGAGGAAAACGAATCAAATAGAGAAAACTTGTGAACCAAATAAACACGGATGAAGGAAAAAGATTAACCTCCGCTAAACCATTAGAGGCGGAAGTATCAAAGCGACCAAACGATCGGTTAGGGTTAGAAACCAATAAGAACTCGCTTACTCGTTGTGAGTTTCTCCGTCCAATGCCCTGGAGGTTGCACAAGAAAACTAACATCTTTCAGGAGCCTGCTCCAATTAGCGCCATTCTCAGAGCTCAAACTGTAGCGAGATTGTCGGAAACCTGAGGATTCATTTTACAAGGAAACGATGGATGGAAAAAAATGAAAATGGAGCGAATCCTTTTGTTAACTCGTGCCTGAGAGTCTCATGCGTGTGCATTTTTTCCCTTATTTTTAGTGAAAATTTGAATCTTGTTTGGACTTCAGTTCTTCACACGCCATAAAGAGTATTAGGGTGGAATCTGGGTATATGACAATTCAACCCGTCGGTGCTTTGCCCCGACCCTGTTGGGGTGTCTTTTGGGGGCAGGTTTTGGGGAAACCCGAAACTCCGGTGGCCCGGGATGGGTGGGAATGGTATTCCAACCCGTCCCCTGTCTCAAAAACCACTTCGACTAAAAATGTGTGTCAAGTTCATCTATGATTCTATATGACATAACTTTTAGGGAAATTTCCCTATAGGCTGAATATTAATTAAATACCTAAACTTAAAAAATGTGGTAATCTATTATCCGAAATTTCATTTTGTGATAATCTAGTATTTATCATGGACCGTCAATTATATATATCGCTCGTGACCTCATGTATAATTTGATAATTTTAAAATATTAAAATTATTTTTAAAAATAAAATACATTATTCATCATATTCTTTTTCAAGAAAATGAAACAGAATCCAAAGGGCTCGCCGTTGGCCACCACCATGACCAGTAGGAGGATAAAGAGCTTAAGATTGTCCGTCTAATGGACAGCACGCGCGTGTTGTTCTCGTGATCTTCATCGTCGGTCGCTCTTGCTTTCCTCGTCTCTATTGCTCTTTGTATGTTACTCACATGTTTACTTCAACACTCTTACATTCTGCTGGCAAAGGTACAAGCATATGAGTTTCACGATGTCTCGTTCTTATAAAGGAGGAGATTTGGGATTGGATTGCACAGTGCTTGGTTCAGGAGTCGGGACAGACAAACTCGGTTGTTTTTCTTTGGGTTGCTAAAATGCCCTCGAATTAATTAAAAGCTCTAGATCTCTTTCTTTTGCCCCACGGATTCCCAGCGATGGAGCAAAAGTAACTATTAAACGTGTTCATCACCGCTACTGATATTATCTGAAGAGACGGGCTTTGCGATGAATGTTGGCTCGTTGTCTCTGGGCATGAGGATGACAACCCTGTACTCGGTGTCGAGCGGTTGCCAGTGGGCTTTGTTATTTTCTCCTCAGTTTCATGCGACAAAATAGTGGAAGGCTTTTAGTGAGCACCCCTTTCAACCGAATAATCAGCGAACGCTAAGCGAAAACAGAGCAATCTCAGTGAATAAACAATCTTCTCTAATCTATCTTGAGATTTGCTAACGTAAACCTCTCTTGCTTGATTAGGTTAGAGAAAGAAAAAGATTGAAAGCCACTCAGGAACCTTTATTTTATTTTCTTTACACCTCAATATAATTCGAGCTTATTTACCACAAAGGATAAATCTATTTCACGATAGAAAACAAGATCTTCAACTGATGCACTCACCCGAAAAGGCAGAAGCTCACCAAAAATGACATTCCCAATGGTATGTGAAGTGAATCCAAACAAATTTTCAGAATTTCATAGCAAAAGTTCAGTGCATTACCGTAAAGGCAAATGCTTGAAAACGAGAAAAGGCTAAGCTCGAGAATCATGAAACTTAGAGAATTTGAATCACAAACTTTGTTTTGTTTCTTCGAAAGAAAAATGATAGAGATCCAAAATTGGATGAAGCTCAGAGACCAATAAGATGCATATATCTCATATGTGAATTGGATCCGATCGCTACCTCCAAAGAAGCAGAAGAACAAAGAGGAATGAAAGAAAATAGTTCAACAGAATAGGAACAAGAGCAATAAGATAAGAAGAAGACAGAAGAGGTGGGGGAAATTATTAAGGGAGAAAAGTCGACACACATAAGTATCGGGAGCGCCACATTTCAAGGGAAAAGGAAAACTGCATTTGCATCGAATGCAAAAATTCTCGCCAGTGAGCAACTCTAATTTTAATTTCGGAAGTCCTGTAATGTGTCCTCCCTCTCTCTCTCTCTCCCCACAATCTCTCTCAACTCACAATCTCATTCTTATAGAGGAGGAGGAGTTTCACGGTGACAAGCTAACAAAAAATCTATCGGAGATTAGCAATTTTTGTAGCGCTCCTCTATCTCTATCTGAGACATAGGGAAGGATGGAGTTTGATTTCCTTTGCCATTCATCTAACACCGTAAGCATGGCAAATGATTGTTGTTTATATGTAATGCCGATTGTTAGGGCACAAGTCCGAACCATGGTAGCCAACTCCATAGTTAGTTCTGGTGTTTAGTTTTGTTTCTTAGCTCGGTTTTTCTCTGGTTTTCTCTTATGTGTCTCTGATGCATTGGTCTGTGTTTCTGGTGTGTTTGTTTTTTGTTATGGTTTTTAATGAAGCATTTGGGTTATGTCCTAGCCTGAACTCAAACGATGCAGCAAGAGACTATTCTATTAGCTTTGTTTTGATTTTTTGTCTTCAGATAATGATGGGGAATAGTGGCGGTGTTCAATGAAGGAGACGAAGAACAATGGCGGTGAACAGTAAACAAAAATTAGGTGAAACTTAAGGGGCATCAGTGTCTTTTTACTATGACACATAACAATGAGTTAACGCCAAGTACAAGGTACCTGTTGAGAATTTTCCCTAATTTTTAATATATACTAGGAACGAACCCCGTAGTTAATACAGGCCATTAATGTGAATTATTTCAAATTTTTAGATCATTTATATTAGACATTTAGGTTAGGATTTTTATTTGATTTAAAAGACTTATCATATTTTAACTAGAGAATGACCCCATACTAAGGGCAACTACAATATCATTTAATTTGAACTTTAATATTTAACTATAAAAAAATAAACTAGAAAAATTAACATGGGTCTTACATCTTTATAATTGACAATCTATTCTGACCTACTTTGTTTGAAAATCACTATTTATTTATGTTTTCTTTAGTATGATTTAAGAGATTAAATGAGGTCTTATTTGTAAGTAGTAGCCCACTGTAATTGGTATTTACTATTTATTTGATAAATTTATTTTTAAAATCTAAATTAGGTTATACTTCCCCCAAAAGTTAAATCTAGTTTACAATTAATAAACTATTTAATCCAAAAGAATGAACCTCACACCATTTGTATTAATTGTTTAGTCATTTTTATGAATTTTATTTATTTTATTTTTATTCAAATAATATTTTGAATATTTTTAAGTTAAATTATTTGTTTAATCGTTACTTTTGAAATGGTTGTGTTTGAATAAAATTAAATTACTTTTGAAATGGCCACTTTTTAGGGATTAGGATGTTACATGTGTGAATTTTAAGAAAATAGAATTATCACTTTTTTGTGAGTGGATATACTTTTTTAAGAGTGAGAGTTTAACATATTCTAAGATTTTATCTATTGAAAGTGTTAATGCCACATGTGTTAGTACACGATTTTTGCTTGGTCCGTCACCTGAGCATCAAATTCACCCCAAACACCCAATTAGACCCTGTCGACCTCTCCAAAACACCCAAAAACCCAAGAAACCCAAACTTCACCCCGAGAGCCCTCATATCCATCGTTAAATCGATACCTATCCGATAGTCTCAATTGATCCTCACTTACACCTCAACCGTTAGATCAAACTCGGAACATTCCAAAACACCTACCCATGAAATTTGAACTCAAGATTCCTTCGTTCACCCATCCATCAAACAAATATTATATTTTTGACCATTCTCGCACCCACAACCCATATATCCACTTGATTTGAACACCTCTAAGCCAATCAAACTTTTCCAATCACCCCATAATACCAAAAAACCTATACATGTGAAATTACAGCTCAAAACACCTCCATTTACCACCGATCACACAAAGATTCCATTTTAATACTGTAGATGGACTGGATTCCAAATTTGCTCGATCCGGGCCCAATTGGCTCAATCTGATTTAACCAATCATCTCAAATTATCCAAAAACCCAACCCTGAGAAATTTCACCCAAAACTGCCTTTATTTTCCCCTTCATCACACAAATAATCCATTTCGAACCCCTAGCTTAACCAATTCGAACCCTTTTCAGATTTGCCCAATATGGGCCCAGTTGGGCCAATTTGGCCCTGCCAATCAACCCAGAATGTCCAAAAACCCCGCCCCATGAAATTTCATTCAAAACTATCCCTGTTTGCCTCTTCATCCAAAACGATTCCGTTTCGGCCAATCACACTAACCCTCACGCATCAAAACCCTTCTCAACCATCAGACCCATCTCAACCCTCCATTTTCTGACCCAAAAATCCCCACCATTGAAATCAAAAACCCGGCCAGACCCCTTTAGACCCGGTTTGACCCAGCTTTTCCAAAATTACAAAAATACCCCAAAATTTATGAAAATTCCCGTGTCCTAATACTAACCAAACTCTTATTCTTCATTCGAAAGAGGACTGTTCATTCTCTTCTTCCCGTTCGAACATACAGAGCGGTGTCGGCACCCCTCTCCATCCGATTTCAGCTCATTCTCTCTTCCCTTTTCTTCTACTTCTCTATCTTCTCCTTCTTCTTCTGTCCCCTTCGCCCTCTCTCTCATTCTCTCACCGCGCTTGCAGCGGCGGTAGCTCTTTTTTTCTCCGCCCGCCCGCGCTCGCTCTCTTGATTCTCTATCTCTTTTCTTCTTATCCTTTTTCCTCCTCCTTTTCTCCTTCCTCTTCTCTCTTCTTCTTCTTCTTCTCCTGCTTCCGCCGGATCTATTCTCAGACACTGACGGCACTGCCCATCTCCTTCTTCATCCGAACCCAGAAATACAGCGGTGGTGCGGCGGCGAACGAACCCCCTTGGATTGCTCATTCTTTCCCTGTAAAACTCCCCCTCCATTCACTTCATTTTTTTTCTCCTTCATCGCCTATCCCATCTTCAACATGAAGCAAAGGAGTTGCAGAGCAAGCTCCCGTACGGACAGAAACCCCCTGTGCAAATGAAGCATTTCGCGTCCGCTCACCGGTTCTCCCGTCTCTATCTTCATCGTCAGCTCGTTCAGCGGTGCTGTAAATTGAAGCCTTCCTCCTCCTCAAGCTCCCCTGGTTGAAATCGGGAGACTGAAACTCAGTTGAAGTTAGCCCCGTCTGATGATATTGGATTAAACTCGACATCGC